TTGGAGGAAGCAAAGTTTGTCTACGTCTTGTGTCTAAGAGGAATTTGCCTTCTCTGATGTCATGTGGTGCATAGGAAGAGGCTTTAAACCCCAAAATTTTACTTTTGGGAAGTGTTTTGTTGATTTTGCTCTCTCTTACGACTTTGTGATTAACTCCGAGGGTCCCCGGATGCATCTCGAGACCTGGAGAGCAATGTTTACATTCACTTGCATTTTAAGGATTGACTCCTCAAGAGGTGAGGAAAGCAAATAACCTGTGCTTTAATGTAAACCCAACCCCAAACCACGAGCAGAACTTGCTACAATGGATGATTATTTTTATTAAATAAAAGAGCATTTACAGATCAAGTGTGAAACCCTCTGCATAATGTCAGCTGCTTTATTCCATTCTGTTTTCCAGCTGTTCACCCCTCCTCCGGCAGCGTTGGGCTTGGTGTGTTTTAAAGAACACGTTGGGAAAAGCACTGGTGTTTTCTGAAAGGTGGTGTTACCCCAGGTAGGGAACAATGGCTCCATTCACTGGGCAGTGGCATAATAACAAATGAGTCCTTGGTACTTCTTGGTCTTTATTTTCTTTATCCCCTTTCATGCCCCAGTAAAAGCACTCCTGTTTCTTAAAGAGCTCAGTGTTCCAGGGTGTGATTTGCTCCCTGGCCATGCAGCCTGGCACTGCTGCTGGCGATGCCAGGCTGGTGCAGCATTTACAGCTACTGGGTTGAAAGGTTCTTAATAATTAGGCTGCAGATGGGATTAGAAATGATTAGGCTGGAAGGGACATTTCTTGATATATGCAGAAGTGTCCATCCGAGTGGGACTTTGTTTCCAGCTGGATGGGTTCACACCAGTGCTGCAGAGACCCTCCCTGAAGGAGGGTGATGGGGATCCACCAGATAAAGTGCTGCTGCTGTGTGGCTGTCTGCCTCCCTGAGGACCACAGGGTCCACTCGCCATCGGCTTCAGCTGTGCTGCTTCTTTGCCACAAGTGCCAGGTAGCTCCAAAGGTGGTGGTGGGGGGACCTGAGGTGCTGATCCTGTGAGTGCCTTAGTGTGTGTTTCATTTTGTTCAGGAGCACAGGTAACTCTCTGGGAGCTCTGGCTCCTGCTCTTCTCACTGTTGGGGTGCTTGGAGCCACCCTGCTTCCCTGCTCTGCTTCTTGTTTGGTGAGAAAATCAGTGACCAGAGCTCAGTGCTGAAGCTGCTGCTTTCACAGCCCCACTCTGCCAGTGGCTGAGGTGCTCAGCAAGCTGGGAGGTGGACCAGGGCTGGCAAGCAGCATCGCTGCTGGGTATAGGGCACCTGATGATGGCCCAGAGATGAACACCTTGGTCACCTCATGATGGGCTTTGCAGGCCAGGAGAGCCTGATCCTGCTGTCCTTCCTCTGGTCTCAGCTGGTCTTGTTGGCCATGGAGGGTTTTACAAAGCAGACCTCAGGGAGGCATAGGAGATGGTGCCTGGGACAGGAGGCAATCCAGCAGCTATTGGTTACTCTTGCCCCGTCCCTCTGGCTGTCTGATGTCTCTGTGGCCAAATGTCTAGTACAGACTGCAGAGTATTTCGGTGGGTTTGGGGCTGGGGCACTGGGGCTTTGGTGGGCTTTTAATTGGTGAAGGTTGCACAGCTCAAATGTCTGATTTCTCCCAACTTTCCATCAAAAGTAAAAGGTGCCTAAAACTGAAATTATGCCCCAGGGTTGTGTCCTCCTCAAAACCTCATGCCCTTGTGGTCAAACAAAATACTCAAGGGTCTACTTTCCATGGGGGCAATGACTCCCCGCGTCTGACACAGCAGAACTGCTTGCCTGTGCTTTGGAAGGTGAGGACCAGCCCTGCTGCCTCCAACCCAGAGGTTGTGCTGATGTGGGCTTTGCTGGAATGCTCCCTCCAGCCCTGCCATAACCATGTCCAGCTCTGCTCACCTCCATGCCTGCCCAATCTCGCTGTGGGGTTGAGCCCCATCACCCTTTCCAGGCCTTGACGCCTGGCTTTTCTCCTTCCCAAATCCTTTCCTTGCAGGAGAAGGCTGCCTCATTGCTCCCAGCTCATTCCCATGCAAATGATGCATTAGGAGATGTAATGAACTTTGGTTGTGCTTTATAACCTTTTATTTTGCAGCTGAAAGGTTAATGGTGCCAGGACAAGGAGGGAATCTCCCTCCCAGTGGGCTGGGAGCCATCCAGCCTGGCACAGCAAGCAGTGGGCAGATGATGCTGCCAGCTCTGCCCTGGAGAGGTTTCTCCATAGCTTTCCTGCATGGGGTGACCCTGCACCCTACACGCTGTATAGGGACCCCAGAGGACAGCCCAAAGGGCTCAGGGACATGCGGGAAGGACCCAGGTGAAGTGGTCTGGTGTGTCACTAAATGTCCCTGCACAAGCAGCAGGGTTGCCCTTGAAGAGATGGGTGTCCTCCTACCCAGGGCTTGTCCCTGACCCCCTCAGTGTACTGACACATGCATTTATTTTGGTGGGGTTTTGGTCCCCATTCTCTGGCGTGGGGAGGACAAGGAGCTTGTTGCACGGAGGAGCCTCTCCAAGATGTTCCAGCGAGGGATGGACTCAGCCCGAATTATTCTGCTCACACTAAATGCCATTGTGGGTTTCAGCCCATGTCCATCAGCCCATGTCCTATGCCGTAAGTACCCCCAGTCACACCCAGCATCCCCAGCCCAGGGGCTGCTGGACCTGGTGCCTTGGGATTTTGCTGTGGGTTGGGTGGCCCTGCTGTTGTCAGCTGATGCTCTTCGGTTTATTTCACTTTATTTCTTAATGTTCCCTGTTCTTTCACCACTGGAAAAGTTCAAAGTCTGTTGAGATTGCTCCTTTATTACAGCCAGTGCCTTGGCAGCCAGCGCACTTGGAGCTGGCTCATCATCTCTGCTATGAACGTCGCTTTGCAGCTGGTTTCTAGGAACATCTCAGTGACTTGCTAAGTATCTGTAGCTGTGATTGCTGTGCCTTATCCCAAGCTATAGAAATGAAGAGAGAACAGGGTTAGTGGGGACCCCACCCCCTGTGTTAGCTACTAGTATTCAGTCAGCACACAAATGCTCCAGGACCAGATCCTGACCCCTCTGTGAACAGAAGGAGTTGTAGTCTGAACACTGGGAAGTCCAGGTGAAATTCCAGCTGGGGGTCACACTACAGTAATGCTGCACAAGGACACAATGCACTCTCAAATGTCTTCAAGGCTGAGCAGAGGGAATGGTGAACAGGGTTGTGGGAGGCACCATAAAACATGGGTGGTCCCAGGAGGGAGGTTTGTTACAAGCAGAGGAGGAGACCTGCTGTCAGAAGATGTTGGGAGGTGTTGAATGGAGATGCTCTTGCTTGAGCTGGTCATTCAACATCCCTTCCTTCTTGGGGAACCTTCTTGGCCATTTGAGTTGTCTCCTTGGAGGGCTCATTTCCCAAAGAGGACCAACATCTCACACCTGGGTATATAAGGATGTGAGATAGGTTCCAGCACCCAAATCTGATAAAAATTCAGGAGGACAAACCATAAAAGGGAGCAGGAAGGCATCTCCCTTGCTTGAGCATAGGTGTCTATATAAGGTAATAAAGGTATAAACTTGCTGGCTTAAACTGGCTTAAAACTACTTAAGCTGGCTCTAGTTTTGTCTGTTTGTGTGATCCTTAACTCTGTTTTGGCTAAGTTAGGGGATGGCTGGCTTGGATCCATGCTGGCTTGGATTTAAGGTCCTGCTCTCCCTCTGGAGCTCTAAGAGTGTCCTGTAGCAGATTTTAAGGAACAGGAAGGAGGAAGGAGCCTTCCCTGGAGGCTGGGGGTTCCTCAGGCTCTCAGGGATTTCCTGGGATCAGTGGTGCCTTTTGCACTACTGGAGAAATTCCACTGACATGTGTTTCCCTCCAGCAGTGCTCTACAGTGGGAGGTCTGGATGCCTTTCAAACACGTCCTCGAGTCAAACCCCAGCAACTGGGTCTGTGTGAGAGCAATGGGACGAAGGGGCTCTATCAGGAGGTGAGATGAGCTGATCCGAGCATCCCTGCTTTCCTTGCAGTGTTTTGCCTATATTGGTTTGGGCACAGTCTGGGGTATGGCGATTGCAGGAGCAGCCTTAAGGTCCTCCAGAGCTGCATGACCTGCTATAGGGTTAGCTCCCAGAGATGAGAAACACTTGTTTTAAATCAGCTGCTATGTGGAAGGATTGATTGCTCCTTTGCCAATTGAAACAGTTGTGTTTTGCTGGACCATGACTTTATGGCCTTCTTCCTGTTTGTCACTTGCTGTCCACAGAATAGGGTGAGCTTCCAACCACTGGACATCTCTGATAAAATAATGCCTGCTGAAGGCTCCTTTGCCTTCATCTGCACACATGGAGTTGCTGCAAAGCATTCATCTGAAGACTGAAACCTTAAGGTGTTAACTGAAAACTCCCTTGAGTAAAAGAATAGAATAAATGTATAGATAAGTATTTAAGACACCACATCCAACCTTCTGCCTCCCTGAATCGACTAAGCTTCTGTTTTAGAGTGAAATGCTGAATTCTGGCCTTTTATTACCAGGATAACTTGTGCCCCCAGGAAAATTTGGACAAACTCTTCCTATTGCAGACTCAAACCTGTGGGGTTAAACCCTGAGCTTGCAGGGTTAACCCTAGTTTGACCTGTGCAGCTTAGCTGCTGTGATGCTGATTTACACCCTGGCAGAGCTCCCTTTCTCCTAGCAATTATCCCTGCAATCATGATTCCTGGGTAATGGAGTGACAAAGCCTTTCAGTGTAAAGCTGAGTTTGTTCTTGGTGTCATGGTGCAGGTATTTGACATGAAATGGCTCCTTAGAACAAAGTCTGTCAGAATGAGCTTCCTGTTACTTTAGGCATGGCTGTGCCCGGTGCTTTGCAGCCTTTCCATGGCACAAACACAGCTCTCCGTGTTCATTAACTCTGCTGTGGCATCACCCAGGGCACATTTATAGAGAGGACTCCAAATACATTATTAAGGTTTTCTGTTCCCAAAGAGGTACCTGAAATAGAGAATACACGACCCAAGTCAACCAAGTCAAAAGAGAGTGGAGTCTCCCCATGGTTAGGGTTTGACCTGTAACCAAAGCACAACCCAAAGGTTTAAACTTCAGAGATGTTGAAAGTAATCCCACATTCATTATTTTCAACACATCTCGTGGCTTTTAAGCCCCAAAGTTTTGTGGGGCTAGAGGTGTTAAAATAACCAGTTTAAAGGGACTAATCTGGTGTACTTACATTGAAATATTTAGCATCATGGGGCCTTTGGCTTTACTGTCTCAGGATAATGAAGATATATCTCATACATTTTGAACAGCAGTATAATTACTTCCATCAACACCAGTCAGCGTTTGGGTGAGAGGGCTTTAAAACAGTGCAGCAGAGGAGAAGAAAAGCTAAATGCTGTTCTGCTAAATCAGGCACACACCGAGGAAAACAAGGTAAGTAGTGTTGTATGTAGGGCAATCTTTCATCACTGTTGGCTCTGCTGGGGCTAATTGGAAAATGTTCTCTGGCTGTATGACTGCTATGAATGGGGTTTGGTCCAAATAGGGTTTTCTGTGGTAAAATAAGATGGTTGTAGCAGCAGATGCAATGGTGGCAGCTGTCTTTATAGCCAAGTGTTAGCTGGCTTAAATCCTTTGCGCTGGAAATGATCTGCTCCTACTGTAGCTGTTGCTCACTGTCCCCAGCAATGCCTGTTACTGGCTCAGCCATTTATGTGCCTGGGTTTTATTTCCTGTCACTCAAATAGCTTTTGCTCTCACCTTAGCATGGATTCCTATTGCTGAGGATGTAACAGTGTCTGGGAGTGGGATGAAGGCACCACTTGTGGGGCTACAAATAAAGTCCATGGAAAATGAAAGATGGTGAAACAGGATGTGGAAGTGGTTGGTATAAACTGCATGATTCTACTGTACAGCTGCAAAAGGATTCAGCCTAAAAGGCTACAGGAGGCCAGCAACCCACCACAGCAATTCCAGCCCTGGGAAAATAAAGATAGGACCCTCCTCCGTTATTAATTGCTATCTTAATTGAGTTGGTCTAAACTGGCATGTTCAAGTTATCAGATGTTTGATGGAAGAGGTGATTTTTTTTTAGCTGTTGTTTATTCAGACCAAGATTTAATTAATATTAAATAGATTAAATATTTGATGAAATAGACTGAAATTAAATATTTAGCTCCCTTTTCTTCCTAGATAGCAGCCCCAGTGGATGTTTATGTGGGCAGTAAAGCTAGAACATCTTCTGAATGTCAGAGAGTGTTCAAAGACCAGAGCTGCATGGGAGCATCATGTGTGGATAGGAATTAAATTACTCTGGGCCCTTGTCTTTGTCAGCCCATGTGGGAACGTGGTCCTCTTTCCTCTGGGCTTATTCAGCTTATTCATTGGGACTTCAGGTTTTGCTTCAGTGAGGGTTGTCCCTCCTGCTCTCCTGCCACGTTTATCTTCAACTGGGAAATAGGCTTAATGGGGAAGGGTTGTCTCCCATGCTTCCCATTTCTCAGGGCAGTGGGCAGGCAAACACAAGCTGGAAAGCAAACAGCATTGCTTTATGAAGTGGAGAAGGGCGAGGGGCTTGTCCTGTGCTCAGGAATTCCATGTTTGTCCCACTCATTAAACCCAGCATGCTGAGGATTTAGGACTTAAATCCATTGATGTTAGTTTCCATGCCAGTATCTTTCAGCCTGTGCCTCTGTCATGAAGCACTTGCTTTTGCAATGGAGAAAGAAGGTTAGTGCCTGACTCAGTGAGCCCTGTGGTTGAAGATCAGCTGCAGGGAAGCATCCATGCATGGATATGTGCAGAAATAGAGCATTTTTGTCAGCCACAGGAGCAGCCTTGAATTAGAGCCATTGGGAGGCAGCCCCGGTTTCCCTGAGGAAAAGGGGACAGCTTTGGACTGTGAGAGAAGAAGCAAGGAGAAAGGCAATCAGTGGCAATGTGTGAGACATGGCAATGCAGTCGCAGGTAGCAGAAGAAAATGTGATGTCTGTGTGTAGCACAGGTCCAGTGCCTTTGCTGGACTTGTGCCCTGCTTGGGTGGTGGTGGCTTAACAGGGGAAGAAAACAGATAATAGAAATTAATGATGCTGGCATTTCCATCTTTGCCGGGCCTGAGGAAGAAAGCCACAGCAAAACCAAACTCTCAGCCCTCAGCTGTTTGCTTGCAGCATGGTTTGAATAGGCCAGAGATAGAATCATAGGGTTGTTTAGGCTGAGAAAGACTTTTAAGGTTGAACCAGCTGTTAGTCTAGCACTGCCAAGTCCACCACTAAGCCACAGCTGTAAGTGCCACATCTGCAAGTGCCACATCTGCATGTCTTCTAAAACCTCCAGATAAACCACAATATCTGGAATTTCATTATGAACCTCAAGTACTTGTCTTGTAAATAGGCACGGACCACTTTGAGCCCTCCCCATTACTTATCATTCTGTTCAGTTTGTGCTGGGAGGATTATTTATCATCTATTCTTTTGCTGTGAAAATGATCTTTGCCTCTCTCTCTGTGATTCTCTACAACTCCCCTTTGGACAGGGCTTGACTTGTTTTGTAGGTGGTTTATCACCTTTGGAAGTATTTATCACCTTGCCCTCTGCCTTTGCCACCCCTTCCACCTGCCCAAGCCTCTTTATGTAGCTGTCAGAAATCAACTGCTTGACCTTGGAGGTTGATACTTAACTAGAAGTAGTCTTATTGCCAAAATCCACCTGCTAGTGAGTGGAGACTGAGAGAATGAGCCTTGATTTGGTCAAACCAAAGATGTGCTTGGAGCTGTGGGCCCTGTCTGCTTGTGTGCTGGCAGGGTTTGATCCAGTACCCTATAGAAGACAGAGGAATTAATGTTTTATTTATAAGCCAAATTCAGATACCTTATCAATATCACAGTGTCTTGCTTTATCTATAGGAGCCTGACATTGCTTTATATCCCAGAGTGACAAATCTCTCTTCCTTCAAGAGTAGATACATTTTTATTTGTTAGCATGAGGTTACTCAGTTGAATTATTTAGGATTTTTCATGCAAGTTAAACACACTGGATTCGCAGGCAATGGCCAGTTGTGAGTTCCCTCCAGTCTGCTCCTTCTTTTGCTGTCTGGTGTGTCTGACCATGCTTGGTGCCAGGCTCAGAGTCACAGCAACTCCATGTGACTGACATTGGGCAGTATCAGCTCTGTAAAGTCATCACACATCAGACAGCAATGTCCCTGCTCTGAGATCTTGCATGCTATAGCAGTGCTCAACAGAGATGGGTGTTCAAAAGGTGAATGAAGAGTAAAAAGAGCAGGATGTGCGTGCCTTGTGAAGGTTGTGTGAGCTCTCAAGAGGACTTCGAATGGCTGGGGCCAGTTCCGCAGCCGGAGTAAATTGGTGAAGCCCTGTTGAAGTCTCTGATCTTTAAGCCCAGCACAGCAAAGTGGACCACACTTTGCAGAAAGTGGGATAGCAAAGATTGAGGGCAAGAAACTGGATTAGATTATTTCCCAAATTCTTTCTCAGCTTGAGATTTTTGATCCTGTACGTGTGTGGAGGGAATTTTGGTGGCATGAGCCTCGTTTGGATGGTTGTGTCTCAAATGCAGATCCTCAAAACTGAGTCTTAGAGCTGCCTCAGCCCCAAGGCCATGTGGGCAACCCTGGTCACATAGTCAGGGGGCTAGTGGTGGATGATGGTGGACACCAGAAGGAGCTGGGCTGGGGGTATGTTCCCTTCAGTGCCCAAGTTTTAGTGCTTGTGTTTAGCCTCTGTGCTGGCACTGGCAGTATTTTAGCCTGTGCTTGTTTGGGTTTGGGTACGCTAAACTTGTTTAAAAAGAATGTACAATATCCTAAGCAGGGGGCTTCTAAACAGAAGTATTGTCATAATTGAGCAATATGATCTGTACATTTAGACAAGACCTCCCATTAAGCATGAGGGTAAATCCAGTGCTCCAGTTAGCAGCCCACTTTGGTCTAGTAGCATCTGAAACATTTCAAAAGCAGTAGCAGGGTAGTGGCCTGTCCCTCTCATCACCTGCAGCATCATTGTGTGGGGATGAAGCTGGTGCAAACCACTCAGGGTGGTAAGTGGCTTGCTAAAGGTCGAGTGAAAAAAAAGCAGTGGTAGATTAATAAAAGATGGTTTTAAATAATTCAGCATGGGCCAGTTGATGAAGCTTAACAGGACCAGAAAGCTGATCTCATTCACCTTGGTGTAAGCAGTGCCTAGACAGAGGGGTAAATAGGTTTGTGTTGAAGACTTCCTGGGGGGTCTTGTGCTGTGTGGTCATGTTTGCTCACCCCCTTGCTAATCCCACTATGGTTCTCAGGGACTGGCTGGGGTTTGGTGTGGTGTCTTTAGGGTCAGGAATGGTTTCCCTTTTGATTTCCTGCCCTTCCCTTTGGTTCCTGCCAGCAGAAACACAGCCCCACTGCTAGCAAAGGGCATCCCTGGTCTAGGGTGGTTTCATGGAGCCACACTGTCCATGACTGCCCAGAAAAGGCAGGCTGGTGGGTGGGGAGGTGAGCCCTGACTTGAGGTTTACCTGGGCCCACAGTGATAATCCTTGCTTAGTGCATCCCTAATGCGCACAGCATCACCGGGGGGCACCTGCAAACGTGTGGAAAGAGCCAGACCCCAGGGCCTTGCTCTGCTCTACTGTTCCCATGGCTGCCGGTTGCCTGCAGCTCAGCACCAGCCTGTCTGCAGACACAAGCACCCCATGGCCTTGCCTCTGGATGCTCACCTCTGTGCTATCAAATTGCTTCAAGCTTTATTGCCAGCAGGCAGCAGAGCCCCTGCAGACATCAGGGATGCCTTTTCTCCTGCCAGGCTTTCAGCAGAGCTGACAACAAGCAAGCAGAGAAAAGCCTTCCCAAAACAGATTTATGAGGGCCCCCCGTGCTAATGTAGCTGGAGGAGTGCAGGTCAGCACTCGGCAAAGCCAGTCAATGCTGGTGGCTCTCCTTTCCATTTGATGGGTTGCACCAGGCTGTGGGTCTGTATTTTTAACTGTGAGGGATCAATAAGGGCACACTCCTCATGGTGGTCTTGGGATGCTGCTCCTCTTGATGCATGGACATCAATGGCACCATGCAAACACTGGATGAACCCACTGTCACCTATATATGGCCCTCAGATCTGTGCTTCCTCTACTGTGGAAGAGAATTAGGTTGTGGTTGAGCTGATTGTATTTTTGTCTTGTGACACAGAGAAAGGCACATGCAATAGGAGCCCAAAGAGATTCTGATTAATGCATTTCTAGAATCGGATTATTTAATATGAACAGCTTTAGAGATATGGCTAAAGTAGGAAAAGAAACTTGGAAAAGACCCCACTTGGGATAAAAGCAGAGAAAGCTATTTTTTGCAAATACCAGTATAGCGTCTTCTAAAAATATTGTCTTGGATGTCTGTTAGAAAATGAGAACCAAATGTGATTCTGCATGGACTAATGGAGCCTGTCATTTCAGACCTCTCACTGCTGGTGGGAGATGTGCTTGCAGGCTCTCAGAAGCATGTCAGAAACCAGCCTGTGCAGAATCCAGTGCCTCCAGCTTTGAAGGGAAAGGTGGATGCAAGAGAGCAGCAGTTGCGTATGGGCTGCTGAATTGCAGGATCACACTTTGCTGTGTGGGCAACCACATCCAGTCATAGTTCTGGGAAGAGTTTTGAGAGTATGTAAGAGTTTCTAAGAATCAGGAGAATGGCATGCGGATTGCCACGGTTTCCTATAAGCAGTGGTATTTACAGACTCACACACTGTTAACTTCTTTTAAGAACTTTATTATTTAAGAGGAAGCAGGAACAATTATCGAGGTATGGGGGAGAAGAAGTCCTTGCAAGACAGGCCACATCAGAGCTGTCATTCTGTTCTGTATTTAAGGCCCTTTTTTGCTGTGTCCTTTCCTCTCCTCAGACTCTCACAGAAGCAACAAGGCAGGTTTCTCTCCTTTTCACACACGTCCTTGCCTCAGCCTCCCAAACAGTTTGTTTCTTAAGCCAACAGCAGCTGGGAACACTGTGTTCAAAGCAAGTTCAGGTTTCAAACATCAATGCTGGTGCCAAAGCCCTGCGAATGATTAAAAACCTTCAGGGTACCCTTTGGTACTACCTCAGCACACAAGTGGTTTTGGAGTGTTTTCCATCTAAACTTCTCACTAATTTAATATTAAGCTCTGCTCCAACTTTGCCCTTTCCAAGCAGTGATCCAGCAGTTCTCTGGCCTTCCTTCTAAAAGCTTACATGAGGATTTGTTTTTCCTTTGGAGCTGATGAATGTGAGTGTGTTTTATTTGAAATGCACTGATCAGAGCACTCCATGTCGTGCAGCGGTACAGGAACATGCAGCCTACAGAGTGCATCCTTCCTCAGCCCTGCCTGATGGTTTCACCTCATCTTTGCAATGTATGTCAGGGAAAGGCCTGACTGTTACCTTTATAACAAGAGCCTGTGAGAACACAGTGATGAGAAGGCACTGAGGCCACCAGAACCTTTATGTCAGGTAGCACTGGAGGCTCTCCTAAGTATGAAACAAAGTATGGATGCGAGGATAAACTCCACAAGTCATTACAGTTGTAAAGTAAGTATGCTTTATTCAGCACTGAGACACATGGGGGATTGCTCCTCCAAAAGCATGAATACCCCAGCGTTGTTCTCCTCTATATTTATCCTCTAAACTATTACATATGCATTAGATTACACAACACACTTATACATACTCGTGACCTATCCCCTCTTCACATGATAATGAGGTAAAAGCTCCTTGCTTGTGTAGTGTCTCCTGGTGGTCGTGGGTGAGGGTCTCAAGATGAAGTAAATGAGTCTTCCTTGACCTTTTCACCTCTTGTCGTTGCCCATGTTCCCTGGTGATTTAGCCACTGTCCAAACCGCAAAGCTGCTTTCAGCCGGTTTAGGGGTCCAGAGAACAGGAACCAAGTTACTGTTCTTTTCTCTTATCAATAGCCTTGGGCCTCCCACCCTGTTTCGGCAAGCACGATAAGTGTTGAGCGTGCATTTGTTGAGTAAGCATGAGTAAGCAGTAACACTGTTAAGCAAGCAGCTTAACCCTAACCCCCCTGTACATCGGTTAACCCTTTGCATCAGTATGTCTCTTGAGGGAAAATTTTCTCTTGGATCTCCTTGATGGGATTCAATTCATCTGCCTCTGCCTGTGTTAAAACACAGATGATATCATGATGGGACCGAGAGGTCAAGATCACATCAGGAGTCAGCAATGCATGATCTAATGGAGAAGGTCAGTAGGTGTCAGCTGCATTTCCCTAGGGGTTTCTAGGGACCTCAACTGTTATCACCTTTGTTAGCCCATTACACAAATCCTGTGGTATGAGGCCTAAGACCAAGAGAGCGCTACGGTGGCACAAGGAGGGCAGGGCAGTCAAGTCTATCAATTCCCTTGGGTTAAAGGTAGAGCAACATCTTCACCTTGCAAGCTCAGAGCATCCGCTTTGCTGTCGCCTGGTAGGCTTGTCTCTAAGATGACTTCCCCAGGAACACATTCAACCTTCATGGGACTTAAAGACTGTAAGCTGGAACACTGCACGTCCTGCAAGCTAGACGGCTTCAAGGGAAGTCCTCACCAGTCAAGAGATGAGCTATTTCAGTCAAAATCATTCCTGATCACTATCGTAGCGAGAAAGCTGCAATGATTCTTTGTTTTAAACTGGTCAAGTAGTTGATGGGAGCTCTGGGAGCTTTGCCCCCGACAAAAGCAACAAAACAACACCAGAAGGTGTTTTCTTGTGGCATGTTTTGGTTCTGTCACTGTGTGTAGTTTTTGTCGTCATTTTTTTTGCCCGACTGTGTTGCTCTGGGCATGATGGGGAAGGAAAATCTCTCCTTCTGTAAATACTCCTCAAGCCACCTGCTGTCACAGCAGATTGCTGTGAGTGTCTCTATTCCCAGAGAACAAAACCATTGAAAGTCTGAGATTTCTGGCCATATTACATATATGTGGCTGGCCTGATCCACCTAAGTACAGTATCTTCAGCAGGTTTTGGATGCAGCCCTTAGAGCATTGAACAGCTGTAATACAGAATGTGAACCTCTCATGCAAAGGCTCGTAAGGACTTGGATTTCAGGACTGTAGGAAGAGGAAAATTCTTCAGCAAAAACCCTTCTGCAAGGCCTTGCTTTTATCTCTTAGGCACTGCCAGCAGGAGGAGAGACTTTTGCACTTGCCTGGGGAGAACTCAGGCATTATATACTAAATGCTTTGACTTGCACTGACATCTTAACCCTTTTGCCATGGTACGTGAAATGTGTCTTTCAGCATGCTCAGCTGCATTAAGAGCCTTTGAAGGCTTTTTGTTTGAACTGGGGGTTTCCCTTCTTCTCAGTTCTTACTGTCTAGCCCTACTCTGCAAAGACCAGGACTAGAAACACTCTCCTGAGCTTCTCAGTGATTCTATCTATGTATGAAGCTGCTGGCTTTGTAGGCAAAATTTTGCCCATCTTTATGCCTGTTGCAGCTTATTAATGTGTGGCATGACCATAATGCATCTGGAAACAGCCCAACGCTAACTCCTTGCTTTCTGGCCTTGTCACCCAATCCTTCTGCCAGGTTGACTCCACTTCATATCTGCTTTCTTTTGAGTGCATTTTTTCATGATTTTATTTTTTGACAGTGCCCTCGGGGATTTTGGCAAAAGAAAAGGAAAATGGAAAAATCTTCCTGGCAGAATCTATTCTTCTGACACAGCAGCAGCTGCTGTGGAGGAGAGCCAGCAACAGGGATCCTCTTTGGAGGAGTTCACAGGCTGAGGATAAGAGCTTGTGCTTCTTTCCTTGCTTGGTAGCACAAGCTGCCTCCCTGCAGAGAGTGGTGATGGCCAAATCAAGCCTGAAATGTGACATTCACAGCTTTAAATTAGACATATGCAGTTTGACTTCGCCTCCAGAATGCAGACCAAGAGGTGATGAACTTCCAAGGTGTTCCAAAGGGTGGTCTAGGAACCTCCTCAGTACTGATACAGGATGAGGTGGACTCAGCCTGTTTTAGACGCCTGTATTAAGGTAAGCTGAATCATCCTGAGCACTCACTTTCTCTTGGCTGATGGTGAAGGGAGCCTCCTAGCCAGCTCTGTGGGAATGCTTGCTCTGTAGAGCTGCAAAGCTGGGAGAGAGAAATCTGGTCAAGGAGAGAATAACATACTTTCTCTCCTACCTTTTTTCCTGGTCGGCTCCATCCCAATTACTACAATAAGCTGACCATTTGCAGCTCTTCATAATTTATTGGGCCTTTACTGAATATTTTAATAAGCACAGCCACAACAGAAAAAGAGAAAAACTTGGCAGGCATTTCTAATGAGCCTGATGTTTGGGTATGTATGTGGAGTGGAGCTGCGGACAGGGACTGGAATAAGACCACAGAAGATGATGGTCATTGATCATGCACTTACCTGGATTTCATGAGCTGACACTGCAGATGCAGGATGCTCTCAAGAGTTTGATGATTTGCTCTGATAATCCAAACCCCATGTCTAAGTTTTAAGGAAAAGCCTTTTTCCGTCATCTTCCCATCTCTTTCCCTTCCCTGTTTCACACTGTTAATCACACTGGCAGGGTGCCTTCCAGGCTGAGACTATTCTGAGAGCAGGGTGAGGGGAGAGTGCTCAGAGGGAACAGCAGGCTGTGTATTTTCCTCCTCTAGCATGATTTGGCCATGATTAATGCAAGTGGAAAATAATCAGCACATTCAGACTAATTCTGTAGGATTATTAAAGGGACAGGAAGGGCAGAGGAGATATTTTGATGCTTTTATTCCATTTTTAGGACAGAGCTCAGGTGTGGTGTGAATATTGGCAGGTAACACCAGGCATCTTGCGTTTAAGGCAGGGAGCAAAACTTCTCTTTTTTTTTTTCTGGACAAGGCAGTGTTAGTCTGAGCTTTGGAGATCTTCTATTCCTTCGCTAAACAGGATCAAAGGAAGCTCGTTCATCATTAGACCAACACTGTTGTTATTAAAGGGAAGAGAGATTGTAAATTGGGAATCTTTGGAAATGGGATTATGATGCCTTATTCTGAGCTAGTGATCACCTCTCAGCCCTTCACCCCTCCTTTCTATACGCTGTTCATACACTAATGCAAACAGGGACAGGAACAGCAAATTACTGCTGGCTCCTAAGGAAAATGCACCATGCAGGAGCTGGGTCAGGACCTCTGGGCACTGAAGCAGCGTGGTGCCCCTCTTCTTTACACATATCGCCACAGTTATCCTGTATAAACTTAGGTCAGATGGAGCTACTTAGAGCGCATGCACATATTCAGCAAGAGCATCTTGCTGACCGTTCCTAGTGCTGGCAACCTCACCATTTACTGGCATGATCTCTCTTTTATCCCATTAGAAAGGAAAATGTTATCTTGTTTTATATGCTGGAGGTTTTGTAAATCTTTCTTCCCCTCATATTTAAAGCTAAATAATAAGACATCAGTTTACTGGAGAGATTGTAGTATGTCTCCAGGTTTTATAATGCACTAAACAAGACACAGAAGTGACTGATGTGAAAAATACTAGAAGAGCCTATTTTGTGATTCTAATCGCATTCCTTTCTGGCACAGAAAAACGTGTCATCTACTTCTTTTAATTGTGCTTTTCTACGACTTCAAATTTGCATTTTTATTTATTTTCTGTTTTCTTGTAATTCTCATTTACCAACACAAAATTAGCAGTTCTTGTCCCTGCTGAGCTCACTGCTGCTGATATTTTTCCTTAATTTTCTAATTTGGCAAACAATGAAAAGTTTTTTTTTATTTTCCCCAGTAAGTTTCTACAGGTGTCCATGCCTGATCAGAGAAATTATTGCCCATAACTGCTTTATTTCAGAGTCTACTGATATCATTGAAGACAGAGACAGGAATTGTTGCATCTCTAAATTAAACTGTAAAGAGCAATTGGATGCTGTAGCAACCAAGAGTCAGGCATCTTGCCTAATCACAGCTGAGTGCAAGACTGAAGATTCCTCCTGCTTTGCTGGAGAGCTGGTGCCTGTATGGGTGCCCTACTGCCTTCTGGGGCCATTGGAAGCAATGAGTGCATAAGACTGCATTGCACAGCAAGGCCTTGGGAGTGGGATATCGAGGGAATAACCCCCATTGCCTTCCTGCTTGCTGAGTGATTGTGATGCCTCTTGGGCGACTGTGAGCATGTAGCTAGGAATTGAAGGTAAACAGAATGGCACACTGAGAGATGGGTGCTCTGCCCCAGAAAGTGGGGAGCAGAGAGAGGAGACGGAGGGGGTTGGACAAGCTTGAATGTGCTGGTGCACACAGTCAGCGCTTGGGTGTGCAGCTCCATGGTGCTTACTCGAGTAGCAGCTCCTCCCTGCTGTCCTTTGGTTTGTTCCCTCATTGCAGGGAGCTAAGGAGAAGGCGGTAGCTGTGTTGTCTCCCTGCTTAGCAGAAGAAAATAGCTTAGAGCTTTCCTATTTCATTCCCATAGGCCTGTTCCCATTTTTGAGGGTGAGTTTCAGGGCTCAGCTCTGTAAAGACAATGCCCTGCAGGTTGAGCATGCTGTGCTGGGAAGCCTCTGCCCCTTGGTGAGGGTGGTCATTTGAAGATGAGCCAAAAGCACCCACAGTGGGTGAATGGGGGAAGGAGGCAGTGAGAGAGAGTGAGACACTTACACAAACCCCCCTGCCCACAGGATGATGCTGTCTTCACTTGCAGTTGTGCAGCTCAGATGAGAGACCCCGTCAGCTGCAGCAGTGGGGACCTCAGTGCTGGACAAGGTTCACTGAGCGTCTTGTGTGGGCATCACAATCTCCATGCAGGATGGGAAGCACCTCGGGTCCTGCCTTAGTGACTGCAACGACAGAGGCAGGGTTTCCTTGTGTGCTGAAGGAAATGGAGATTGTTCCCAGCCACCCTAAAACCTCGGTGCTGGTGGCCTATGTCCGGCAGAAAGGTCAAAAGAAATGCAAGGCTACCGGCACCTTTGGAGAGGTACCAGGGCAGGAATTGTATTCCACTGATACGTTCTAAATTGAATATTTTTCCTCCTGTCAGGTCAGCTTCAGGAATATACTGTAGGCATAGCAATTGAGATGGGGATTATAGCTAATAATTTTTAGCTTTAGGATGTAAGAACTGAACCTATGATGGCCAGACCTGGATAGCCTGGTCTATGTAAACAGGACAATCCCATGGGCTCTGCCGGGTGAAGACTTCCTTGGGAGGTCAAAAATGCTCAACAGCTCGGGGAAGAAAAGAGAGGTGTTTTCAGGGCCTCTGGCCATAGAGTTGTTTTGCCCAGACTGGCAGCAATGAGCTACAAAGTGGCCCTCGGGTGGCCCAAATGAAGTGTAGTTCAGCGCTCCTTGCTGGAGAAGTGAATGTCAACTGCTCCTGCAGGGCATGTTAGTCTGGTGCTTGACCAATGTATTAGAAAGGAGATTTGCTTTTCAAGGGTGCAACCTGCCCTTGCAGAACAAACCTGCTGACTTTTGTTTCTTCTCTTTCATGGGTGAGCACAGGAACCTGTGGTGGTCACAAGATCAGTTCAGCAACGTCCTGACTCAAGCAGCTTGTTGCGTTGTTTGTAAAAGTCCAATTTTCTTTTTGAGGAAAATCAATGCAGCTCATTACCTAGCTGAGAAAAGATCCCTGTGTCAAGCAGCTACTCATTCCACTGGAAGGCAGCCCCTGAGCAGGCTCAGCTGCTTCTCAGAGGCTGGACAACAGGCTGATAGCCTTTCTCTTAAATTATCCCTTCCGAATTAAACTGCCCCACTGAGAAGACTGATCAGCTTCCTGCAGACCACCAAAGAGCTGCTCAACAAGTGAACACCACCAGCCTTGGGCAAAATATGCAATGGAAAAAAAAACAAGAAAAACAATACAAAAGACTTTTGTAACAGCTGCTGTAATGACTTTGAGTTTTCATGCTGTTTCCACGTTATATCCTTTCTTCTGGGCTCTGGCTACATCATTTAGCATTTTAATTTCAGTGCTGGGATTTAGTATTATGAGGCTGATTGATAGCCAAGCATTCTTTGTCCAGGCTGTCTTGAGTGGTGAGACTGAGCTCAGGTGCTTGACTCAAACTTAAGATGAGCTTGAGACATTTATGTGAGCACAAAAGATGTTTTAAAGCAGCTTTGGAGTCTGAGAGGGGTTGAGGCTGTTGGCTAGGCAGTGCTTTTGCCTAACGTGTGTGTGTATGGCCTTAGGGACAGCACTGTTGGTCAGTGTGTTAATGCAGGACCTGGCTCGGGAACGTACCCCAGTAAATACATACTTTGACCATTTACATAAACTATAGATAGTGAAATTTGCTCCTTGCTGCAGCCCAGCTTCAGGATCCTGGACCCCAATCCCTTGTCAGAAGTTTGCTAGTTTAGAAAGCTGAAGGAGAAATTGTTCCTGTACAAAACAGAGAATGGGGAAAACCCCATATGTTGTAGCTGCTGGGGAGGAGATTCAGGGAGTAAATAGTCATCATCTTCATGTTTTTGTTTGAGATCAGAAGAAGGCTAAAGGAAGTTTATCAGGGGCATTTCACTGCAGTGAATTAAGTAACAAGGTCAGTGAGATAAGAGAGCCAGTGTATGGAGAATTACTGAGGAGGTTATCTAAGGGTTAGGGTACGCACTCAGCTAAGCAGGAAGAGCTCTAAAGAAGAATGCAAAGCTGGTAAATTCTGTGTAACAAATTCTCTGCCTTGACTGTTTGCAGGCTGCTCTGAAACCAGAGCGGGTAACAAAATGAAGAGTGAGGTGTATTTTGATAGAACTATCAGCCAAGAAGTCTGTCTTCTCTCCCAACATCACCACTCCAGCCCTTTGTGGTGGTTGCTCTTGAGAGCAGATTTTGGATGCATGAAGTGCTGATGATCTTGGCCCTTCCCTCTCCATCTCTTCTCCATAAGGTGGTAAGAGGCTGCTTACCCCCTTGCACCCTAGGGTGAGCAGAGTGCTCAGCCTTGGGGAATGTGTCCTGGCAGCAGACAGTGGAGCGATGCTTGCAACAGCATTTTGCAGTGCACTGGCCTTGAAACCAGCTCCTGTCTACACACATGCAGCACCCAGTCAGGGAAAGCACAAATGAAAGCTGTCCTCATCACCACATGCTGTCCATAAAACCTCTTCTGTTTTGAAGCCCATCTCTGTTTCCAGTTTTAGCCTGCACTGAGACCTTGATCTCATGAGCTGTCTTTAAGAAGTTATTCCAGAGTGTAGATAATTTTGGGTTGTGGAGACTGTGAAGAGATGACATTGCTTGTATTACCAGACTCCTCTGGTGTTTCATGACAGCTGTGATTGCAGTGCATAAAACATTAGTATTTGACTGTAATTACAATGGCATGGATGGTGTTATGCCTGAATAGCTGATTAATCATCTGGAGCAATGAGTAAATATGGGAGATTTTGTGATAATTAATATGTGGAGCTGAATCACAGTTGGCTGAGTGAGTTTGGAAGTTATCAAGACAAATGGAGAGGTGTTTGGCAGCTTTAGGCTGCAGGAAAGATAAACAGGTGGAGCTCTTGGGGCAGTTATTCCCTCTGATGTGAGCTCCTGCTGACATGACCCAGCTCTAATCCACCTCAGGGAGCTGCATTTCAGTGGTAAGTAGCCAAACTGTTAGAGGCAAGTCGGAGTAATAGGAGATATTTTGGTGTGTAGGGATGCTCAGTGATGCCTTTTCCTCCCTTTCCCTTTTCAGATTCCTGCTAAGTGTCGCCTATGACTTTCTCCCATCACAGGAAATGTATGGCCCATTTTTTGTGGGCCATATAACAGAAGTAGGAGGCACTGGAGGCTGGTGGATTTACTGAGATTGAGAGTGTTAGAGGATTTGCATGGGATGGGCATGTCTTGAGTATGTATTTGCCCTTAATATATTTGGCATCCTTGTTTCTAGTCTACCTCTTGTTTTTCTGTATGACCTTGGTCCAGAGTCTCCGTTTCCCTTCCCATCTTTTCCTTTCAACACTGTAAAGTTTCTTGGGCAGCAACTGTCTCTTCCCATTACTTACATCAGTCACAACTAAAACCCAGGCTGTGCTGTTTAAAAGGTCTGGCTCTGAGGATGGAGCCATTTAAGATTGTGGGATGCAAAGCTCTTTCCTCCTTGCAGTGATTAACCAGAGAGCCCTGTGCCAGTATGTCTGCAGCTACCCAGGAGTGAAGGGAGGAGAGAAATTCATTAGTACAATTGGATTAAATACCTGCTGTGCTAGGGAGTTGCCATGATGGCTTAGTGCCACTGTTGTCTCCAAGCAGGTGGAGTGGCTTTCTGGTTCTCCCTGCAATCTGGGTCACACACATTGAAGCAACAGCAGTACAGATTGCCTGAAACCACATCATGGTTCTGCTTGTGGGAATTTACAATTCAAATCAAGAGAAGGTGAAGCTTCTCTCTTCTGTTCTATGGTGATTTTACAGCAAAGATCAAGATGAAATATTAAATGTCCTCCACAATGTAATTCTATCTGGCTGGTTGCAATCAATTCCTCCTGCCTCATGTAGTTTGCTATTGCTTCTCCCCTTCCTTTCCTTCCTGTAAAGAGACATGGGGCTGATTGTCATCTCCTCTGTGCGCTGGAAATGAGATATTGCCGGCTTCCACATGGACCCACCAGCTTAACAAGAACAACTTATGGAAATGAATTCTCATCGAAAGCCCCAAGCAATGCAAAGTTTGTTGCAGAGAGACTGGACTCCAGTTTTCATAAAGCCTAAATCAATGCTTTATCTATGAGGCTGCAGTTAGACAATGGTATCCAAAGCTCAGTCTATTCCAGGCAAGTGCCTCTTTAAGAATATGATATATTAAAAAATATCCTTTTCTCTGAGCATAGGTTTGTAAAGGTTTTATGAAGCAGAAAGCTTCATATGAGCTTCTCCCTCCCTGGTGAAAAGACCAAGGTTATTAATACACTCACCAGCTTTTTCATTCTCTGCCTCTAAGCGATGTCAAGCAATACTCAGGACAAATCCCTATTATCAGGTGCACAGGTATTATTATTACCAGGCCTCTTTGGGCAATCAAGAGCGCTATTTGATACACCAGTGGTGAAGCGTTAGAGTATGACACTCTTATTCAAGGAAGAAGATAGAGGGCCAGAGAAGTAGCCCCAGTCTCATTGGTGTGGCTAGGGACACGCACACAGTCCCAGGTGCTGCCTCTGCACCTCCACTGCTGTTAGTGGGAAGGGAAAATCTTGAGCACGGGCAGGGCTGATCAACAGCTTATCATCACACATACACTTCTGTGTTTTGCTGCGTCAGTTCCTCATTGCTGTTGAGTAGTGGATTCACAGAAAAATCCAGAGACCATTTCGTAGAAGATTCTTAGTGCCTTGGGAGTGACAAAGTGACCTGGGGATTAATCCCAAGAGACCTGCCTTTTGCCTTCACAACCACCCCACAATATTTAGTTTTGCAGCACTTTATTTATAATCACCTCATCGCCTAAGTGCTACTTAGAGTTCAGCGCCTCCTTTTGCAATGAGAAGCTCAGCATCAAGAGACAGACCAGACTTTGATTTCCGCTTGTGACGAGGAGAGCTCCCAAATCTCAGTTTGCGCAGAGTAATTAAAGGTGATGGAGGCAGGAAGACAGAACGCGTGCACGTTGTTTTCCGTTTGCATGATGGCATTTTCCAAAGCTTTCTTTCCCACTTCATCCTTGACTGGTATGCTGCCGCTGGTATGAACAGGAAAGCCCACAGGGTTCAGTGCTGGGTCCTTGGGCTCTCTCTGCCAGTGGCTGCTAGGAATGCCAAGCTAGTGATACAATAGATTCATTTATCAATGAGGTGTTGCTGTTGTCTTCAGGGGGGTCTATACCTTGAGCAAATACCTCCCGTTAGTGTGACTGCAGTACTCAAGTCTTCCTTTCTAAACAGTTGTCTGTCTGGAATGGCAAAACAGCCAAGCCATAATGGCTGTACTTAAGTAACTTTCAGATTATTGTTAGCTTATTTTTAAAAAGATGAACATAAGCTTATGCACTTCAGTATTAGAATGTACCGAGAAGAAGGTTTGAAGTAAAGTCTAAGGTGTGGGGAACTTGTAGGGACAATAACATACTTTATTGGAAAGTATTGGAAAACTATTCTCCTTCTGTTGAAGTTTTGTTTCCAGACACAGAAATCCCATTGACATCTCCTATATATCATGGAATATAAGACTATACGTTGTATTATTTCAGTACCAGGCAAGGTTACACAAAAGTATTCTTCACTCTCTTTGAGACAGGATTGCTTATTCCTTGTTTTTTGTAACATTTTACCTAGCAGAGGGCTCGTTTTGAATTTCCCTGCCTCTGTTTAATTGCCCATATATCTCTGCCCAAGCCTGGCACTGATGGTGGGGTTGGGACCCAGTCCTGGACCTGGACGAAGCACCTTGCCTTAAGGGCTTCACACTTTGACAGGGACACTTTCACAGCACTAGTTGAAGGAGAGCTGGTCTCTGCTTCAGATGTGAGCAGATGTGAGCCTGCAGGCTCCAGGGCTGTTACCGACAGACTTCATCAGAAGCAAAAATTACCCAGGAAAAAATATAGATAATGCAAACACATGACACAACAGGAGGAGTAGCCTTAAGTACCTTAAATTAAGGGAACTGAAAGTCCTTCCCCTGTACCACAGCATTTTAGCATAGCCATTATAATTAATCTTTTTTAAATATATAATAGTAGTCAAAGAGAATACAACGCAACCTGTGCTTCTCTTGCTGATGTGCATCCAGGAGACAGAATGGATTTAAAGTAGGGTGATCTTTGTAGTCTGGTAGAAATAAAATCCTGAAAGCAGGAATTGGTCAATATGGAGAGTGACAGGTAAAAGTAGTACAAATACCTGCTCTAAAAGCACTGGATATAATCCCCACAGGCACCAGGAAGCTGTTGACTGATCAGACAACAGTGCACCATATGCTTGTCTGTCTAGTAAAAAAAATAAGCAAGAAAGAGAGAAAATCTCTAAGCACAGGGTTGGTAAGTGACAAGCGTGCATGCTGGGGCTCTCTGGAGTGGGGGAATGCCATAGTCAAGGCTGTGACTCATTCCTGAACGAGCAGGACTAAATGGCATGGAGGAAGCTGCTGGATGGGTTTCATGATGGGACTGGCCAATTGGCCATGGCATCTATCCCTAACTCCTGTGCTGCTGTACAGCCTGCTCGGCAGTTTTAACATGCTGAGTAGGTTTTGAAGAGCCAGCCCTTTCTCCTATGTGCATCTTGGAGGCAGCTCTCTCCACAGTGAGGACAGAAAGTGCAGCAGAGTGTTTGCAGAAGACTCTGCCAGCCAGTCTCCTTGGCAGGCAGGACAGGTTTAGCATGATCCTGCCAGCTGCTAAGTGGGTCCCAAAGGGATCAGGCACCTTCTACAATGGCTGGAGGAGCTCCGTGTCCAGCAGACTTGGCTGTAACCAAAGGAGCAGGAAATGGCAAGAGCTTATACTTCAGCTAGAGACAACCACCAGCTTTAAACTGACCTGTGGGAGAACCCATGTGCAATCCGCAGCAAGGGTCACCAGTCCTGCAGGAACCAGGAACTCCTGTACATATGTTTGACCATATGTTTCAGATGCAGGGACTGTGAGAATGAAGACATTAGGCCCACTGTAGGGGAGGATCTGGTTCGAGACCATCTTAAGAACCTGAACATGCACAAGTCCATGGGACCTGATGAAATCCATTTGCGGGTCCTGAAGGAGCTGGCGAATGAAGTTGCTAAGCCACTGGCCATCATATTTGAGAAACCATGGCAGTCAGGTGAGGTTCCTGACTCTCTGGAAAAAGGGAAATATAACCCCCATTTTCAAGAAGGGGAAAATGGATGACCTGGGAAATTACAGACCAGTCAGTCTCACCTCTGTGCCTGGCAAAATCTTGGAGCAGGTTCTCCTGGAAG